TTCTCTCAAGAAACATTCCTTAACGAGCCAAAACAAATATGCAAAAGTTCCTGCAGATTCCTGACATGATAAAACTCTTCAGAATTGGATTCAGGTCCTCTTTTGTTTCTCGACTGCCGAAAAACATCATAAATCCAATTCTTAATGTACTTGAGTGAGAAAGCATTCTTACTCTACATATTGCGAGGTGTTATCAACCTTCTTACTTTGAAATAAATTTGAATATATGGTTTAAAGTTACTAGAGCATAACTCTAAAACTCGATTGGGAATGAAGTATGACTCATCTCTTGATCAAACCATTTCCAACAATACCCGATTCCTCTTCTTAGTCATACAATTACACTAAGATGTTTTTCAAGGATCAATTGTGATATAATTACATAATCAATAAGATGATCATAAAACATGATACTAAAGTACTCCCATTTCCTCTCAGATTGGAGAATCTTTTATCTTTCTGCCTAATAGACTCTTTTATTCATTCTGCTACTCTTTGAATCTTTTCAAAGTATTAGAATTATGATTAATCTTATAAACACAACCATATTTACTGAAGCATCGATAAATCATGACGAATAGAGTTATCGTCCCTTACGGTGGATTTGAAGAGTTCATAACAACATGTACAAGATCCATTAATACATCACCTTCCTCACATAAACATGTGAACAAGATTTCTCCAATGAACAAAACTCTCATGCATCATCCAATTCGAATTGTGTGGCTCTAAGTTTCTGTCAATTGAAACTTGGTGATTATACTTCCTTTCACTTGGTCAAATTTGCCAATACCACAAGCAAAATATTATAAGAATCACATCCACAATTAATATTGCTATTATTAGAAACACACTCATTAATGCAATTGCAAGGGACTATAAAATAAGATAACAAAACTTCATTTTATTAATAAAAGAAAATTGGAACTTGTTCTTACAATGCATAAAAGAAAACTATGTTTCTAGACGTCTCCGAAGAGTAATAGCAAACTACTAAGTCTATCCTAACTTCTTAGTAGTAGCTCAAAATTCTGGCCATCGAACCATGCGACAAAAGTCTATTTCTCACGATCAGATTTAACTTGCTTTGATCAAGCTTCCTTCTTTCTCTTAGATCCTATAACACCATCAAAATGTGATCATTACATCATGTATTAAGATTCTATGAATAGAAAATTACAAAACAATGGAGTTAGATAATGGATGTACCTGAAGTAGAGTCACACAATTTGACTTTACTATCCCTAAGATCTTTCATGTATTTTGGGAAAATTTGTTTCCAATGTCCCTTCAATAGGCAATAAAAACAAATGGACTCATTACGGTCAATAGCGGTGTTCGTTTGGATAAATCGGTTTGATCCAATCCAATCGAGTGAATCCAAATTGATTTTGGTTTTCAAAACATGAATCCGAATAGTCCAAACTAAATTCAAATCCGATTTGATCCGATCCAATTACAATTCGGTTGGATCGGTTTTAATAATTTGGTTTTTAACAGCCGAAACATTTTAAAACAACATATAATTATAATATTATCCAATTTTACACAAGAAGCAAAAAGAAATTATTTAGTTGTGATTTGAAATTTATAAACAACTACTAAGAATGTATATTATAAATTAATATTTTATAGATAAAAAACTTTTGAGAGAAAATGCATATTTATGTTTGTTATCAGGTGAAACTTTTTGAACCTATTTGAAAAATAAATTACAAAATTAATAAATAATCATAGTATTAAAAGTAAATAAATAGTAAATTGTTATTTGGTTTTTGTGGACTATTCGGTTCTTATTTTATAAACCAAAACCAATCTGAAATCCAAAATAATAATTCGGTTTTGTTGAAAACCAATCCAAAAATCCGAACTAAATAGTCTAATATAAATTGTTCAATTGGACAATTCGGTTTTATCTGAATAGTGTACAACCCTAACGGTCAACACATGGAATGATCTCAGTACGAGCATTTCTCTTTACCGTACGATCAAAATGTTTGACCTTGGTCGATCCGTTTCCATTGTGAAGAGAAGCATTTTCTTGATTACCATTGTCAATGTCCAATGAATTATTGGGATTAGATCCTTCAAACACTTCTGCTTTAGTTGTACTCTTAAGCATTTTTGCTTCTACACTTATCAACATCTCAGTCAGATCAGTTAGGGCCACATCGAGATTCCTTATATGAAAGTTTTCAACAAACTGACCATATAACTTAGGAAGCGAGATAAGAACCAAATCATTGGCTTGCTCCTTTGGAAATTTGATACCGATTCTTCCCGGTTTGTCAATGTACAATTTCATTTTCAGAACATGTGCACACACAAAATTTCCATCTTTGTGTTTACATGCAAATAGGGTTTGAGTAGTTTCATATCTTTTAACTTGAGGAAAACGTGACGTTGGAAGAGTCACATGAGGAGGAGGTGGAAGAGTTGAAGAGAGACGATGACCAATTCCATCATTGCCTAGGAAAAGGAAGATAATTTCACCTTGACTCGAATGTGGAAGACCATCTCCAGATGATAGGGGAAAACCATTTCCATAATAATGAGGAAGACCAGTTTTATCTTCATAAGACATCTAAAGTGGGAAAAAAATAATTCAATTTAGTTGATTTTAATCCTTAATTATTAACCCATAAATTAAATTAAGGCTAGGATCCATATTTTCATTTCGTAATATGAAGAAAGATGTCGTAGTCATATCACGAAACAATTTTAGGTAGGTGGAAACATTTCACCAATTTCAATCACATGAAACTCCTAGATCCTTTGAGATTTTCATTGAAATATCAATGACATGTTTAATATCGGATTATGCACTTACCAATTGTAACACTCGCATATTCAGGTTAGTTAATTTAGAGATAATAAACGTTAAAAATGATTTTTTAATAGAAGATTATTTAGGATAAATAATCTTAACGAAAGTCATAGCATACGTGACAAGGTGTACATATAAGGAACACTAAAATCCGACTTCGTATTATGCTTCTTCGAAGTTTCGCGATTAAACCGGCACGACTCTACGTATCGTAAAAAGTGAAATTTTGATAAATTACTTTTTAGCCTAAGAGATCTAAACGAAAGTCGTAGTACTCATTAAACCGAGAGTGTACATATAGAGAACGTCCAAATCTAACTTCGTGAGAGGAAGTTATGATTTTTCGAAGTTTCAGCACAGCAGTGCGAACATAGAAATCAAAATTCTAAACAGTTGGTTTTTAGACGAAACAATCTAAACGAGAATAAAAGATCTCGTGAATATGAACTCGTCGATAAAAAGACAGTCGAGAACGGAGTTTGTATGTAGAAGATATGAATTTCGCACGGGTTTTAACAATCTAATCCGATCTAAATATGAATTTTTGTTAGAGCAAGAAATAGATGTTGAGACCTTAATGAAAGTTGTAAAGCTCGTCGAGAGAATTTTGGGGATATAACTTAGAAAACAGAGCTCATATGTGAAATTTATAGCCTTTTGAAGATCTGCAAAAAATTACCTACGTTGATGACATGGCAGCATCGGAGTGCGCCACGTGGCCTGGTCGGTGACTCCCACCTCTTCCGAGACAAGACGACGTGGCACCATAAAATTTGGACACGTGGCGCCACAAAAATGCGACATGTAGCAACTTCTAGAAGGAAGTGGGGTGGACCCCTAGAATGACGACATGTGGCAGGGCGGCTGAGGAGCCAGCAAGGCGACCAGGCGCGGCGCGCGCCTCTTCCCTCTATAAAATGGTGCCGAGTTTTGCTCATTTTCCTCACAAATCCTTTCAATCTCTCTCTAATCTATCTAGATTTCGAATTAGGTTTTCTTCCCAAATTTTAGAATTTTTAGAAGAGTCTCTAAAACTCTAGGAGACCGATGAAAAGGAGTATTCGGGTCGTAATTCTGTCCATGCGTTTTCCCGGTTTTCGGGAAAACATCTGTAAGTAAAGTTACACTATTTTGCTTTCAGTATAACTTATATTTGTAGTCATAAGTCGTTATTATGAACCTACAAATAAGATTTATCAATGATTCCAAGTCACAATACTGATTGATCTACTTATGTGAGAGGTGTCTAGAATGGTCACGTTGGCTTGGTTGTTCGATTTCAGAAAAGGCTATATGCCGAAATGGTCCTGCCTCCCAACTGTCATGTCTGGCTGATCCTTACTTGATAGATCTTGATGTAGACATTGAGATTAGTGAGGAATCTAGACTATAATTATTATAGTCACCAGGATTACGAAACTAGACTAAGGCTTAGTACTTTATGCGTCTAGGTCTTTTCAAAGTATGAAGCAAAGCATTGCCAAAATCGTTAGTCATCCACTTTTATCAAGTGAGTGCATAGTCCCGTTCATGAACATGATTTTAATACAAATATTAATTAAACTATTAAATATATGTTAAAGAGTTTTCATGTGAACTATATGCTTATTGTCTGGAATTTGTGTTAGAAATGTACTCGATATGATAATAATATTAATGAACAAATAAAATTGTTATATAATAATGATAATAATAATAAATTGTTAAAAGAAAATGAAAAAGAAAAAGGAAGGGTAAGTTAGTCTTTTTATATGAAATAATGACCAAAACTGTAATATTCATAAACCACAATAATACAACCTATCAATTTTTAAACTTGGGACCAAAACTGTGAACCTAACCAAATCACAGGGACCATTTCTGTAATTTACTCTTATTATTATATTCAAACAAAAATGTGTTACTTGAAAGAAACGTTTGATCTAAAATAAATCATCACCTTAAACACCAGAAACGGCGCAAACTTTGAATGGCCGACTGAACTGTCAACTCCACCGCCGACTGAGTGACACTTGTGTTCGGTTCCCCCGGTTTTTCTCCACTCTTCCACACTTTTTTTTAGTTTTCTTAATGAACGCAATTAACACGTGCTTATTCATGTATACAAATGTCTCCATCACACCATTTGTAATCATACCTACGCATTCAGTCTTACATACCCCATCTCATATAAAACAGCAAAACCCTCATCTGTTTTTCATTCAAATTGTTCTTCCACCATAAAATTATTCCACAAATATTTGATTTAATTAAATATGTCAACAGCTAAAAACTACTTTTCCGGCAACGGCAAGCTTCCGGTGGAGAAGTCTAGTTTTGCCAAGACTTGTAATCGACTGAGTCTGTTTCTGAAAGAGAAAGGCAATCTAACCGATCTTGGAATCAATGGAAATTTTGACGTCATAGGTATGGACCTTAAATCATAATCCCTTTTGTTCGTATGACTTCTATCAGATTTTGGATAATCTAAAAGTTTCCCCTGATTTTGTTACAGGAAAACCAGAAAGATCTTCCGAGGCGACGGCGATGACGACTGTTGATTTGTTAAGCAAAATGGAAAGTCCGATTGAGAAATCCACAAAAACGGAGGAATCAATGAATCATCTTCCTCAATATATTAGTTTGGATACCTTCTTAAACAAAACTGATTCCAGTAAACCGATTGAGTCAAGAACAGAGCAAATGACGATTTTCTATAAGGGACAAGTGTTGGTATTTGATGGTGTTTCGGCTGATAAAGCGAGAGATCTGATGTTAGCAGCCACTAGTGTTTCTGCTTCTCATAATAATCAAATCCATAATCGTCTTCAATTGGCCTCAACTTCAGATTCTTTCGGATCAGAACATGTTCTTCAAGGATTACAAGAAAACGGATCAGAGTTGCCAATTGCGAGACGAGTATCACTTCACAAGTTCCTGGAGAAGAGAAAAGACAGAGCTACCGGAAGAGCGCCTTACCAGTTACACAATCCGTCGTCGACGGCAGCGGCGACTGCATCTTCAAATCGGAAATTTGACCTCAATTTGTAGCCATATTTTGAGATCAAAAGAAATCTTATTAATTGTTTATCAATGGATAATCATACTCCTTCCACCTCATTTCAGTTTTATGTTTCCTTTAGGTGGAGGTTTGCTTTTTTATTTTTTTACTATAAAGTTTCCAAAAAACTTTTTGTAGCTTTAATTGAATATATTTTAATCGATATCTTACATGAAAGGTTTGACAATTTGCAAATTTGTAGCTTTCAATTTTTATAATGATAGCTGATAGCATTTGATAGTATAATATTCAAATTATAAACATTATAATTACTATATTAATTCTAGATATATTGTGTAACTTCTTAATATTACTAATAAGATTACGAAAAAAAAATCTATAATACATGTTATATAATTGCAGTATTTTGTTATAAAAGTATTTAAAATTTAGATAGCTCAAAGATGGGTGTTCCTACCTAATTAGTTCCGCCATGCCAAAGTAATCGCCCATATGCTGCACTAATTTTGTCTAAATTTTATCTATAAATACAAGCATCCCAGCTTTTTGATTTTACCTTACCAAATCGGCGTGTTCGGCAAAAATAACTAATAGCGAATAGCTTGTAACGGGTAACGGGTAATTTGTAACTTGTAGCGTTTTGTTAAACGTTACGTGAAGTAACATTTAGATTTTGGACGTTTTGTTTAAACTAACCCCTAGAAGCTTGTAGTGTCAAACGAGAATTTCTGTTCAAAACGGAGTGTTTTGTCAAATGTTAGAAATTAGAAGCTCTCAAACGCTCTATGTCGAACACACCCATAGTGTTCTTGTTTGTATTTTGGATCTTATTTATGATAATAGAGATAATGTATAAGGTAAAAATGATTCATTATATTATTTGATTATTTTGTGAAAATGGATGTATTTTTTTTAACGGTCGGTTAGTTGTTAGAAGCAGTATCGTCAAATTAGTAAAATTCGCCTCGTCTAAATGAACTAGTCCCACATCGGTGAGTAAATGGATGTCAAGAGGTTTTGAACTTTATTGCCAATAAGCAAATTGGAAAAACATACACATATTTCCTTCAACAAAGAAATATAGTTTCCCTGATACAAACAAACGATAAAAATCATACTAACTGTCGAATTTTGCCTACCTGCTTGAGTGTTTGGATGTAAAAATAATGGAAACAAATTCCTATATATTTTTATTTTTTGGAAATGGAACTTCCATAACGAGTGTTTCGGGTCAGCTTTCTGTAACATCTTGTTTCTTGTCATTTTATTTCAGGGTTGTGGGCCGGAAGCCGATTGTGTAAAGGCTTTGGGCCTTAAGGAGGTAAAATTTAGTCTTTATGGAAGGAGGTAATGATGGTTAAGAGATTTAACCCTTGAACTGTATATTGGGACGAATGGTAGAAAAGGAAAAGTCATAGGCCGAGTTCTTGCAAGAAATGTGGATTTTTGTTCGAGAAGTTTTTAGCCCAAGATATCTAGATAATATTGTGGGGCTCTTCAATACATTTCCGTGGATCTAAAGATCGTTGAAAATGGAGTTGGAATGAAGAAGTTATGATCGTTTGAAGTTAGGATGATTTTGGGTTAAGCCGAGTATGTTGGGCGTACAGCGTGTACGTTGGGCGTACTAGGCAATGACTGATCGTGGAGGTTCAACCCGGTACGCTAAGCGTACGCAATCAGAACCCCAACCCTAATTTCGGGGTTTTGAGCCCTATTTAAGCTCCTTAACTTCCCCAAACCCTTATTTTTTTCAACCTCCATCCTCCTTAACCCTAATATCAAAACCCTAGCCTTATTTGTGAGACCCTTGAGTTTTTTTAAGTGTTTTGGAGTGTTCTTAGTGCATATTGGAGAAGAAGTAGCTCACTGGAGAAGTGTTGGTTGCTTTGGAGCTTGTAGATCCAGACCTTGTTCACCTTGATCTTTCTTCTGGAGGTATAAAGTTTGAATCTTGATGATGCATTTGTTAGATCTAGCTAGTTTTGGATGTTATGAGCTTTTGGTCACTTTAGTGCATAAAGTTTAGATCTTGAAAGTTTGTGACCTTGTTATGGATAAAGTTGGAAACTTTATCCATCTAAACATCATTTTGATTCAGATCTAAAGGCAAACTTGGACTTAATGGATTAAGTAAGAAAGATGCACTTTTGGTCCCTTTGAAACTTAAAAGACTAGATCTTGGTTGTTTGGACCATTTTAATGGATAAAGTTAGAAACTCTATCCATTATGGAGCTATTAGGAAGCATAAAATGTGATCTTGGTCCTTATATCCCTTCCATGCAAGAGTTAAGATGTCTTAATGGATAAATAAGTTAGGGTTTTAGCTTTTGGACCTTTTTCTAGCCATGGAAAGTCATAAATGTGGAAACTTTATGGCTTAAATCGATGTTTTGAGTCTATATCTGAGCTTTAGACAAAAGGTCTTAAGGGATTAAGCACTAAAGGAAGGAATTGTCTTGGAGGTATGTACATCAGGCGTACCTGAGAATACGTTGCGCGTACTAGACCTGAATCACGTACGTTGGGCGTACTCAGCTACCTTGGAATTTAACTTTTGTTGACTTTCGTTGACCGTTGACTTTTTGACAAAGTTTGACTTTGGGTCAAACTTGAGGATCTTGGACTATTGGTTAAGATTTTATCTGGTTCCGGTGTTAGTGGATTCACAGGTGTAAGCAATGCAGAAAAAAGGATCGTATATAACAACCCAAATTTTCAAATAATTTTTTTTAATTAATCAAAACTTTCCCATAAAATGTGAAATATCAAAGACAATTGCTTTCAAATCCATAACATCAACATTTTATTTCAAATATCAGAGTGTCCCATCAAAATCAAATGCCGGAAAGTGCATGCCGCGCCATCAAGCCTTGCCCTTGCCCTTTAGCTCAGAAGTACCTGAAACAAATCAACAAACTATAAGCTAATGCTTAGTGAGTTTCCCAGAGCATACCCCACACAATCCACATAATCACATAAACCATATTAGCTATAAAAGCTACAAAAACCACATACGCCATGCATACAACATATAAGGATGCCATGGAAACCCTCCAAGGTCTTATACCTAATGCCACTGGAACCCCCACATGGTCTCAATTTGTTGCCACGGGAACCCCCCGGGATCTTTCATGCAAATGTCATACCAACATAACGCATAATCAATCAATAATCCACATAACATAACATGGGCCGACCTTGATGCCTTAGACCCATTGGTATGGTGAGAAGACTCACCTTTCACAAATGTTGAATTGATAAGATAAGATTAGATAAGTCCCAACGCGCAGCTCCAACTCAATTGCCTACAATCATCATATGACTACTTTGTCAAAATCCGAACACACCAATAATATCCTCAAAGTCAAACTTGGTCAACCATGGTCAAAGTCAAGGTCAACAGTCCATGTTGACCCAACTCGTTGAGTGTATCTAGCAACTCGTCGAGTTCCTTCAGTGTTCAGAAAACCGGGGAAAAACCCGATCCAACTCGTCGAGTTATCTTATCAACTCACTGAGTTTACCCTGCAGACCGAAAATGGGAAAACCCGATCCAACTCGTCGAGTTGCCAGGGCAACCCGTCGAGTTTTCCCTTGTCTTAACATATTCAGTCCTTCCAGCCAAATCCAAACCCCAAACTACAGATCTAGTCCCTTAGGACCAAAATACCACGTAAAGTTGCAAACTTTACGTGTATGCAAGGCCTCAAGAGGCTAAAATACTTAAACTAAGTCTCATAAAAGGTTTAGGGCATGGATAAGGGCTTATACTAAATAAAGTGAGCAACTTTATGTCCATGGGGGCCTAGAGGTGTTTAGATCTGGAACCATATCCCCATGACAAGTCCAAATCCAGGATTGACACCATTATGCACCAAAAGTGACAATATACTTCCATAAGATGAGATCTAATCAAATAAGGATCAAGGTAGCAACTTTATACCTCAACATGGTTGCCTTAACAGAGTAGATGCTGGATCTATGGCCTTCTCCTCACTTCAATCTCTTCAATCTTCAAGTTTCCTTCCAAAAGCACTGTAACACCCCAAAATGCAGGTATATCTCTTTAACCCTTCTTCTTTCCCAAGTTGTCAAAATTCGCCTAAAATAGAAAATGGTGATAAGTGGGTACGCTGCGCGTACTGAAGAGTACGCTGCACGTACCTATGGGCGTGCCTTTGACGCAGACTCAACCCAGTACGCGGGTCGTACCTTAGTTTACGTTGAGCGTACTGGGCCCAGACTCAAAACCCTAAATGAGACATGAGCACTATAAAAGGAATGATATGGCCTCCATCCCAGCCACCATTTCCAGAGAGTGAAACCTTAAGTGAGCCCTTACCTTCGTTCTAAGATGTGTGTGTGTGTGCTTAAGCTTGAAAGTGTTCTTGTGTGCTTGTGAAGAAGAAGAGAAGGCCTTGAAGAAGAAAGATTGGAGTCCAAGCTTCTAGATCTGAGCTAAGCTGAGTAGGGAGCTTCTCACAGAGGTAAAAAGCTTCAAACTTGGTCTCTCTTTGTTATGAACATCATCTAGGAGCATTTTTAGGGTTTAAGTCCCAAAGGTGGAGACTTTATGAGCAAAGGGACTCCATGGACCTAGATCTGCCCCATTTCAGTGTATCTTGTGTTATAGATCCATAAAAATCCAATATTGGACGTTAAGATTAAGTCATGCATGAGATAAGGGCTTAGTGAGGAAAGCGGAAAGGTGTTTGGAGTGATTGGTGACCTTTACAACCATGCAAAGGCTTAAAGGTTTCGACTTTATGGATTAAGAGGTATTAGAATGACCAGATCTGAAATATGAGCTTATGTCTTAACCGTTTAAGACCAAAATCATGAGGAGTATGAAACTGGGACTTACGCTGGGCGTAATCCCAGTACGCGCAGCGTAGGGGGTCGAGCTCCCTGATTCTGTGAAGCCTTCGAGTACGCCCAGCGTACAGAGCTAGTACGCGTCGCGTACTCTGGAGGGTTGACTTTCGTTGACTTTTAGGGTTTAGTCAACAATTGGACTTTTGGGCCATTGGAGGGGTAAAATGGTCTTTTACCCTTCTGAGAGAATATAGGGAGGGACTAGTCTAGCCTTTGAGAGCCGTCTTAATTAGAAATAATTATTTAATGTGATTAGGCGGAGGCTAGATCAGTATTTCGAGTTCGAGATTATCCGAGTT